TTGCTATTTTATTATAAAGTGTCTAGTTGTGCATTTACTATTATCTGAAGTATATTTTTAACCTGATAGCTGATGTCTTCTATCAATGCTAAAGATTCTCAACTTTTATCTTTCTGCTTGCTGCTTCTGCCTTTTCCTCTTTTTCTGGGATTGTGTGTGTGTGTGTGTGTATGTGTGTGTATTCATTCATTTAAATCTATCTCCATATCAATCTACCTTCATATCTCTCAAATGATCTTTCACATTTTTTTTCTCTGTATCCCTTTGTTATGCTCATGGTGAATTTCTTACTATTACCCCTCAATATATTCATATTACTGTGATTATTCCAGTTTAGAGTTTGTTCAGCATACTGAGTTTTAAAAATTATTTTTTGTATGATTTCGCCTGTTTCTTTGGAATGATGCTACTGCTTTATGTATCCCTTTGGTAACACTAAATGTACTTATTCTGAAGTATTTTTAAAATGGCACTTTTACTTTTATTTTGTCTAAAATGATTTTTTTCCCAATATTTGATTTTACTTGCTGTCTTTCTTGGTGTTAATTTTCTTTGTGTGTTTTAGAATTTGGGTTTGACCCAAATTTGGGTTTGACCCTCCTTGACTTGGTGCTATTTTTCTTTTCCTCTCCCTCACTCCTCTCTATTCAGAGGTTTTGTAGTTGCCTTAACACCACCCCTGGGACTCATAGTCCAAAACCAGCTCTTCTGGTGGCTCAGGGCTCTTACTCCACCATGATATTGGGACAGTTTGGAGTTAGATGATTTGTTGGCTAGGCTTGATCCTGAAGATTGAGTCTGTCCTGATGTCTTCCTTGGCATTCGGACTCTTATAAGCTGTAGCTCTGGGCAGCGATTGGCAGCACCTTTTTTCTTTCCTGCCTCTTTTCCTGGGGTGGAAGTGGGGGTAAGAGAAAGGAGGGAGGAGAATGACTCACCACTCCACCCTTCTTCTCCCTGGCCCTGGGAACTGGTATCCTCACTGCCCTTGCTGCTTCTGGTACTGAGAACGGCAGTCTCAGGCCTTCAGTCCTACATTCCTTTTCAGTTCCTTGCCCATAAAGAGTATTATCTATTTATTTTATTTATTTCTCCCATGGTTATGTTTGGACAGGGGGTCTGTGGGTGGCTCAAAGTGTGAACTTTGAATATCATTTTGATGAGAATTCTACAATCTTTATCTGCTTTTAAAAAACAACTAAGCAGTGCAGCCTAACCCCACTCACAGTAGAAGTCTGATGTGGGCCCTGTCCGCGTGCCACAGATCCAATTCAACATTGGCCTCTAGCGCACTGTACAATGTAGACTGCTTACTCAGCATGGTCATCCCTGCTCAGAGAATGCGAGGACA